AACTTTTACGATATCCTGAAAATGCATATTGAGTGCAACGAAGGGTTCTCTAAGGCGGTGAACGCGTACCTGCTTTACTCCTTTTTGCCGCAGTGGGACATAGGCATAGGGTTGTAGTTTCTGATTCTTCTTATCACTGCCACCTTTGGTCGGTCGACCCTTACTGCTTTTCAACGAAGTGTCCCGATGTATTCCTTGGCCTCCTGGACGCCAGCTTGATGCACCGCTTACGGTTGAGTGTTTGGTGCTCTGCAACACAAATGGGATAAAATACCTTACTAGCATGTAATCTAAGGGAGCGTTTAGATTTCGCGATCACGCGCGTCGATGCGCCACCATTGCAACAGCTCTAGTATGCTTTAGACGGAAATGCAGCTATAGACGGGGATCGATCGGTGCCGACCACTACTGCGTTGCAGAGTGCGGGAGAATAGGAAGGTACATATTGCCTAATTACACAGTCTGGTATCCTTCCGTTTTTGTATACTCTCCCAAAGCACTAGCTGCCAGCACCGATCGATACCAGACAGCATATTCAAGCAACGTTTCCCTCGGATTCTCACGCCATCATCGATTATCACAACTACAGTTGAGCCTTTGTGACGCTACAAAGGCAACTCACTGCTTTTTTCGCATCCCTGGTGTCATCTTCAGAATCAGTTTCCATATCACTATCGTCTTTCTTCCTCTTGGTTTCAAGAGGGAAGTCATCATTCAAATCGTCCAGGTCACCACCTCGCTTCCTACGCTTTCGCTTTGTTTCATTCTCATCATCTGAAAGAAAAGTACTGAAAATTGACAAGATAAGACAAGAAAAAGTTGTCTTTCTCTCGTAGACATCAATGCAAGCTGTTTTTCTTTCATCCTTCAACTTCCTGAAGGAGCACTACACGATCATCTAAAGAAGAACCTTTTCCGCAAACGAAGTGGTCAATTCCGTAGGCGCAGGAGTGTATCACTCACACCATTCCAAAGTGGGTGGCACTTAACGCAGGGGCTTATGATGGCGTTGTGTTCATTCTACGCCCCTCAGCAGACGCATGCCAACCCAAACGTCCCTCAAAACTGCTCGCTCAAAGATGGCCGCATAGTCACACAAGGTTGGTGCTTTTGCTTCATCTATGAAGAACAGAAGACATAAAGGCATGTTTTCACGATGCCAACGCGAACTCGTCCAAAAATGCTCGCCCAGTGTCGTGCAGAACAAAAGTTTTTTTTTGCAGGTATTTGGCCGTCTATTGACGCTTTTTTCTTTTGTCGCACTATTAAGCACCCCTGCATTATTTTGAGCAAGAACAAATATCGCGCCTTATTCCCTTCAACAGCAGAGAACGTACCACTATCGACAATCACTAATTTTCCATCTTTAGATATTCTGAATCCAGATTCCTGTTTCTTCTTTTCCGTCAGTTTAGCTTTCCGTTTCGCTAATTGAGCAGGATCCAGTTGTGGTAACCTAACAATTTGCATATTTTACAGAACTCACTCGTTTTTTTTATGGAAAGCTTGAAAGCACCTACCTTGAGAATCATACTCTTTCTGTCAAGAAGATCCGTTAGTTCACCCATGTCTGTGTCATCCTTCAGCCAAACACTGCCAGTGCGACTCTTCATATCGGCCATATCTCCTTCAGCGTCACTTTCAGATGCATCACTATCCTCGAGAAGTTTTAGTATTGTGTCGGCTCCGGCAGTTCGAGAAGTCATACGTGAGCCCGCCTCGCTGCTCTCTGGAATATCGAAAGTGTCAAATAATTAGGAGCTGAGACGGGAAAAAGTGATGCATCAGAAATTTTCGGAAAACGGAAAATTTTCCATCAACTCACCTAATCCATGCCATCATCCATCAATCATTACTGCACTAATAAAATTCGACAAGCCAGAGTAGCAGAATTGAGGGATAAGCGTGCCCAGCGAGCTGCTAAGGGACAAACACCTTCAGGTACAGCATCGTGATGTGTGTGGTGTGTAGGTACGGACCCCCCTCCAACAACACCTACCTACGCATTCCAGTTTCCAGTTTTTTCACCAAAAATTTTCCCTCGAGCGCAGGCGCAGCCTGTTTCGATTTCGCGGATTTTTGGTCCGCTTTTACGACCCCCCCCCCTTTTTTTAAGGGGGCTGTACGACCCTAAATATTTTTATTACCTCATAATTCTCTGTTATTATTTTAAACATTGTTCATTAATCTGTTTCAAAGAGATTTTATTTGAATTCCACATGGACCAAAGGCGCTCAAGCCGGTACTGTTCGTTTAGCGTTAAAGAATTCTGTTGGTGCTTCCGCGCAGGTCTGCGTACGAAGATATGAACGGTGAGCAATCCTACAGACACAATTAGCGACCGTGACCGGGCTCAAGAAAAAGGAATGTCCAGATTTGTCAGCTATCACTGAAGAAACCGTCTGGCAACACTCTGAATCAAGGTTCCATTGTCGTTTCAGCGCTACGCTGCAGTGAAGGACACTGAGTGTACAGACAGACCGGGTACGAAATTTGAAACTTCATCGAGGATTAATATTATATCTTCTCACAGTCACTGCGAAGTAAAAATATGAGAAGGCCGACCATCGTGTCAAACCGTTAGCGTTCTCACCAACCAATTTCGAGTATCGAAAGCAGTGCCTTTCACACAGGCTGCGGACCGCATCACGCTATAGAAGGAAGGGGTTCTTCACAGTAATCGCGGACTGTGTCTTCAAGGCTCTTTCGAGAATGAATGGCTTATATTCTCTCTTTCTGGAAGAGGGATTGATCGAGCAGATAGCGCAATGGGTTTTAGGGGAAAATGGTGGAGTGTGGAAATCGGGGATTGTATCAGTTAGCGGAAAAGGTTGCACTGATGAAAGCATTCCCTTGAGAAGAAGTTCACCTTGACACACTCTCAAAGGTTGAAGACCGTGCCACCCTAACCAAAGAATTGATTCTACCATTTCAAGATACTTGTCAAGCGCGAACCCTCCTCCTCCCTTTTTCCTCCTAACTCTTTCCGCTTCTTTACCTTCGCTTTTCCCTATCTTTTTCCATTCAACGATCAACTCGTTAAGCGGTAGTTGGATGAGAAAGTACTTGCGGGCACGTGTTCCGGGTTGACATAAGCGTGTAATCTGGATTCTTCATCACCAGGATAACCGCGGACTATGGTCTTTTAGGAGCTGTTCTAAGATGAAAGTCTCACTTTTATATAGACGAGGCATCCCGATCGACTAGATAGCGCAATTCTATTCAACAAAGGAAGGCTCCTTTAGGCCCTCAGGGATCGTATCAGCGTTTGAGGGGGGGGGGGTGGAGTGGAGAGGGAGGGGGAGAGGGTTGTTTACAGATGAGAGTATTTCCACGGTGACTGTCCGACCTCGAGAGGCACCATTTGCCATTGCTCACTGTGCCAATCTTCACCGACTTGATGTGAGAACTATTTTTCATCAATCCTACCTATCCTGGAAAAAAACTGATATAAACACTATCCTGACCTTCATCGCTATCCTTCGCGCCACCTCCACCACTGATTTGCCGTTCTTTTCTTCTATTTATTTTTTCGATATTTTTCAACTGCTTAACCCATTCAGGCTTGCTGGTATACTTGAGTAACACGTCTACTCCAAATTTAGCAACAAGCACTTCCAACAGCAGTCGATTTGCTTTTCGGACCTGAAAGAGACCGGGTTCAGACAAAAGCAACCTTCTTGCATCACTTACTGAAAGCTTGCCTTGGAAGTGAGATCACATGTCAGCTGTCCTTCAAATATCGAATTGATTAACAGGTCACGATACTGTTGCAAAGCATACTCGGGTAATTTCTGTACCAGTACTCGGAGTAACCTATTAACAATTGATTATTCAACTTGTTCAACTATTGTAAGACGAACCTTTACGAACCTGATCACCAAAATTCGGACAGGAGGTCGGCCGTCCCCTATCCACGCACAACCATGAGCAACCAGACGAGACACATGCCCTCCATTCAGCGTCTGCGAATTCAAGTTTAATAAGCCAAATCCGCTAGTAAGTCAAGTTACATCTCAGCACTCACTCGAAGTAACTTTTGTGCTATTATATTCAGGGCCACCAAGGTTGATCTAGCAACATCCATCTCCACAGCACCATTGTCGGAATCAGCACTTGGCGTCGCTAGTTCGTAGATGCGCGCTAACATACCGCTCAGTAGGGTCGAAACTTGCGGTCTAAAATCATAACAGTGGTTGACATAGTTGAAGGCACTGTCTAGAATTGTCAGGAGGGCGGGGTCAGAAAATAACATCGTTGGTGAGCTTCCTCTTTCCGCTACATCAACGCAAAGAGCAAAGGCACACCAGTGGCGCCGTTTTCCGGTTTTATCCACCCGTCAGCTCCGCACAATGTCTTTAAAGGCAGTGGGCACGATCGCTGAGGGAGGGCGGTTGTCGCCAGTGTCATTGGTGGCTGAGCTGAGTTGGATGTGGCCGAGATAGGTTTCTCTATCCTTTCCACCGGTTAATGTTTGCGACAACCGCCTGCCAGCAATCGTGTCGATTGGCCTCTTTGATAAGCTGTTAGAAGTAAGTTTGAAATATTGAAAGATTACTCGTTCTCTGCTCCAATTTCGAGAATTTTCTTGAACATATACTGCAAGCATTTACTGGCATTCGAGCGAGTATGAGTGTTATTCGCCTGAACTCAAAGCATTTTGTCAAGATGAAAACTGGCCAAGAAGAAAGCTAAAGCACCTTAATCCAAGCACAAAACTACTGCGACTCGAAGTGATTTCAGGCAAAATCAGACAGTCTGAAAGTCGTTAAATGAGTCCGAAGTAGTTGAATGGCGAACACTAAAATACTTATGATTTTACATTTTGAGATTTAAATGAGAAATGAATCAATGAAAAAAATACTGAAGAATGAAAAAATTGACATGAGGAAATGAAAATATTGAAATGCTTTCCACAGAATCCATTAGAAAAAGACCTGTTGCGATGATAGGGAAGGGAAAATCCAAAGAACATTCGTAATGTAGGAAGAGCCATAGCTTAAGAGCACCGGTCATAAACTTGGGAATGGAAAGGACAGATCGCAAAACCGTGGATGCAATTCCTGGGTGGTATCGTTCAGCTATTGAGAATGTGCTCTTTTTCGACATTTTTTCAACGGAAACGGTAAGCAAGCGGATTCACCAAATGAAGCTCCCCACTCAAAACAACAGCATCAGTCACATAAATGGGAGTATTTGACTGGATAATCTTAGAACGTGGTAGGTGAGCCACACGTCACAAGGAAGGGCATATAGCCTAGTTCGCTGCTGGTGATGGCTCAGGGGACTGGGTTTGACGCGGAGCCGGCCCCTTCTTCATCAATTGTGGAAGCTGCCAAGCGACAACAGTTGGTAGAAAAGGGGCTGACGCCTTGCCAAACCTGGCCCTCTGAACGCCCCGAGCGAACAAGACTATGTTGACTGTTCAACAAATTGTATGATGTGATAACATACGAAAGCTGCTCGAGCCGGAGGAACCACACTGGCAATTGGTCGTAACACTGCATTTTCAAAGTCTGAAGCTCTCGACGAAAAGAAGGGTTCCAGGTCAGGCGAAGCTCTGAAAAAAATGATTCTGCTGAAGAAAGGAGACGTTTAAGGACCGGAAACAGAACACACCTTTTGGCTAAAATATCTTCCATGATTCGGTACGCCTTTTTCTGTATTCCATCCATACCAAACCATGGTATTATAGTGTCCATGACTTTCTCCAATGTTCCGCAATCGGCACTTCGTGAAACTGCACAAAGGATGTCCAAAATCCGAGCCTGAAATAGAAAAGTACCATATGGAGGGAGATAGAGATGTTTGCATAGTGAAGATGTAAGCTTCAAGCATCATAGCATGTTATGATAAGTATTTTTATAGGAAAAGGAAAAGCAAGCCAATGCACTTATACCTGAAAACACTTAGCTAATGCAAAAGAGTGGACCTAAATACACAGTCCGCGAACCCGAAATGCATAATCCTTTGCTTGCATAACGCAGTCTGCAATCTCAGAAAACGAACATCCCTTTCTCAGCGCGAACGTGCTCTGCAAGAATACCAGAGCTAGGACATGATGGTAGCGCTCCGCCCCTGGAGTAGCTCTTTTACGAGACGAGCGATGCCGCGGTATCTTTAGCCTGCGTCACCATGAGGGTCTTGTTTAGAGCGTTCTCGCCCCGTTACTTGCAGCGACATTTGCTGCTTCTTTTCTTAACTGTCAATTTATGGTAAGCACTTTGAAGTGCGTATCCAAAACTTCTTTTCACGGTTTTTAATCTAAGAGCGAGCTTATAACGGTATAACCCGCGATAAAAATATGAGCGGAGGGGCTCATAACCATTGTGCTTTCATCATAGGGTTCCAACGTTTTCATTGTACAAAAAGGAGCGGCGTGTCTGAGCAAGGCACAGTGATGATAAGCGCTCGTCCGTTAATGCGCAAGACCTGATCGTCTTTAACTCCGAAGAAGGTGACTATGAAAAAGGGTAAAAGGCATTTGTTGGAAATGGCCCTTTCCATCCTCACCAAATCTTTTGTGAACGCTTGTTATTAGGGAAGTACCCTGTATTCAATCTCACCTGTCTGGCAGGATCTTCAAAAGCACTATTCGCTTTCGTGATTGCTGCGTTCACAAAAGATTTGGTGAGGATGGAAAGGGCCATTTCCAACAAATGCCTTTTACCCTTTTTCATAGTCACCTTCTTCGGAGTTAAAGACGATCAGGTCTTGCGCATTAACGGACGAGCGCTTATCATCACTGTGCTTGCTCAGACACGCCGCTCCTTTTTGT